TGAAGCTACATTAAAATTTTTAAAACAATAGCAATCTATAATTTGTAGGGTTAAATTTCCTCACCCTCTCAGAGCGGGAGTTCCTCCTGTAGCCAGACATTTTATGCTTTTGTAATTATACAAGTAAGCATTTGTGCACTTTCAGGTGCTCTCAGCTTCATCTCTGAGCATCAGATCTACATCATTCTGAGCTAGAAAAACATGGTCTATTTCATGGTCTGTTTCTTCACCTTATTTCTTCAGTCTGTGTAAAGATACATAATCACAGTTGATCTATGGAGATGTTGATTTTCTTGACATCAAAAGTCGTCTTTGCCATTTTTGTTTAAACTTTCTGCGGAGGAGCAAACTTTTCTTGAGTTTGTGCTACTAGGGTTATCAAAATGTTCAAAATACATAGAGAGGTTGTGCCTGCAGTGTCCTTTCATGCCACATAGAGACATTTGATTCAGCTAATATATTGAACACATCAGACCTTAACTTTATATATTACTCCTCTATCTTTTACTGCAGAGTTTATCAACACATAAAAAAGCACCTCAAGAGCTGACAGCTACAGCAAAGCAGGTAACAGGGAGAGCCAAGACAGCTGGTCAGGGACACTGGAGGATGTATTAAGAGCAGCTGCACTTTGTACCCATAATGTTTATCACACCTGTGCATGGATGTGTGCATCCTTAATCACAGAATAACAGAGTATTCTGAGGGACCCAAAGGGATTATCAAGTCCATCTCTTAAGTGAATGGCCCATGTGGGGATGAACCCACTAACCTGGTGTTATTAGCACTGTGGTCTAACTAACTGAGATAATCCCAGTATTTAATGCTGGTGCCTGTCCCTCCCTGTGCCTTCCCCACCACTACGACCCTCACCACAACCCTCACTTTCATGCAGAGGTTGGTGACTTCCATGGGAAAGGAGCAAAGTACAAAATGGTCACAGGAGTAAGAAGCAAAAATGAAAGGATGGGGTTTGATGGGCTGAGTCTGTGGTAGCGGGAAAAGGAGAAATGGAAATACTTGATGATCCAAGGAGATCCCATCCAGGGAAGCGATCATAGAATTAGGAAAGCCAGCAAGTCCCTTGCAGGAAACAAGTGAGCCATATACTTTATGTAGCATTAGGCATCTGACCTAATTACACAGAATTACCCTGTGCCTGGGAAGTGCCTACATCTCTCTCTGTTGACTCTTTAAGGAATGTAGTGTTGATCCTCTGAATCATACCTAAGTGAGATGTCCAAATTTGATGGCGTGAATAACCCTCTAGGAGTAATAAATAAAACTGTGCACGGCTTAGTACTGGCAGGAAGTATGTTTTGATAGTAGTCATGTTTACAATTCCCAACTGAATAAGCTTTACTCTTAGATTTGACATTGTTATGAGGAGACTTACAGTCTATAATTTTGGTATCTCTTTCTACAAATGCTGTAAAGTTTACATAGCATTTCAGCTGATCCCTAACTGGCCTGGACAGTAGTATTTGCAAGGTCAGAGTTTGAAAAAGTGTCTCTTCAGGCTGCCACCCTCCACACCAAGAGTCAAATTCTGATTAAAGATAGTTAATGTTTCCATTTTTAATTCTCAGTTTGAGATAATGAAAGGTCATCTGACCTTCAAGAAGAAGATTTAATGTTCCCTGAAGGAGCACTGAATTTTTACTACATCTAAGGATGAATATCCCAAATCACTACTCACATTTGAGCTTTGTCTTCTATGTGAGCTCTGATTATAAAAGATGAAATGTGTCCTTAGTTTAGTAGTCTTCTATAGGATATAGCATTTCCAGAGTTATTTTCTGGTCATTCTGCACTACAACTGTGCTGCTTTCAATCCTAGTCTGATAAACTACCTTACCCACAATACTTACCTCTGACATGACACACAATGCCAGTAAAAAAACAGTCTGAAAGTTGCAGAAAGCATAACTTATCTGTAGAACATTTAGTAAATGAAAATATAAATGGAGAGAGTGAATATTCTCTCAGAATGGAAACAAAAAGCCACTCCTGAGTAAAGGGATTTGAAAATGTTGAAGGTTTCTTGATTGCTTAAAGAGCACTGCTCTTGGCTTTTCCCTTGTCTGGATTAACTAATTGCCTTGGCATCTAGCTTGTAGTAAGGGTGCAGTTTTCATGTTCCAATGTTTGCTCCCTTCCTGGTTAAATCATAAAAACGCAAGACTGAAAGCATGCTTGCCTACACTATGCATATTGCAGCTGTTTTTCTTCTGTGGTCTACCTTCTGTATATCATATGCTATATATTCTATATACTTGTCTCCTGTGCAAAAAGAAACAGGCAGTAGAAGAGTAGTGTTGAATCCCATCAGCACCCACTTAATGTACAGAGAGCATCCTCCAAGATTTGGGCACCATCAATATAGAGAGAAATAGGTATGCTACCTTTCTCTTGGTCACTGTTGGAGCTGAGAGAGACTAGTCCATTAAAGCCTCTTTTTCCCCCTTGAACTACTCACAAAGGAGGAGTTTTGATACTCAAAATTTGAGCTAAGAGAGGTCTTAATTCCTTCCTGCTGTTACATGCACTTCCTCATGTTACAGTATGACTACTGAGTCAGGGTTGCAGAGCACAGGTAGATTTCTTGGTCACATCACTAAATGTAGAAATCTTAAGTGGCACATCTGTGTTCATCTTCTGTTAAAAAAATACAAAAACAAAACAACAAAAAAATCCCCAAACTGCAGTAATGTGGAGCAAAGCCTGTTTTATGTGCTCCAGGAACCTACAAGAATAAATGCCTTAGGGGAGTAGACAGATAGAAAGAAAGAGGGAGAGAGAGATAGGCATGCAAGCAGGCAGACATTAGGAAATCTGTCCTTGACCTTCATATGCCAAAGAAATTATTTTTGTTTGAGGTGGGGGAAAGTCAACCCCTTAAGGGAAAACAGAAGAGGGGAGAGAGGTAATAAGGAAATGAGTCAGACACAAAGAATTGTTGGCAAATACAGGCACTTCCTAGTAAAGGAGGACGGTTTTCAGCTGATCTAATGTTCAAAACCACAGATAATATGTGCCTGGTTTTTATTTAGTCCCTCTTGTAGCTAGAAATATTAGAGTTTAATAAGTGGAAAAAAGTGAGAAGGAAGACCCTTTTCTCTCTTTTCCTTGCTTCCCTGACACACAGGGGAGCAAGCTGAAAATCTGAACCAGTGTTTTAATTTGGGGGTTAGCTTGTTTTTTTGCATCACCAGATAGAAACTTTGAGAAGTTTTTTCACTGTAGCCATTTAAAAAGGTAAAATATGTGGTTTCTTCACAGAGATCTTTCTAACCAGATTGAATTAACTTGTGTAACTGTATAAATACAATTATGATAACTGATATTTTATTTCAGATGTTATTAACCAAGGAATGCTGAACTACTCCAGATCCATTAATAAATCCCTGAGGTCCTTCTTGCTCCAGAATCTGCTGGGTCTGAAAGAACCACACAGTTCTTCACAATCCTTACAAGCACTCAAATTGCAGTCTGAGGAGCTTGTTGGTGCCTTTTCCAGATCCTAAACACTACAACCTAACCAGTATAGGGTCTATCAGAACATAAAGCCTGTGGCTTATCACTGTTGCTAAATCAAAGCTGCAGTTATGAACAGAAGAAAAACTGAGGGCACCTAAAAGTCAAGTAGAAATACTTATAGTAAAAGTGAAGAAGGCATTTTTGCTACCTCGGAAACAATGAGGGAAAACCAAGAGGCTATGTGCTCACAGGAGTGTACAATTGCAGTCAAGGATGGCCGAAGTTAAGCAAATGAGGGGTAAGTGGTGAAGATCTATAGTTTGTGAGGGAAGATGAGCTGTAGAAACACCCATTAATTCATTAGTATGTTGGTATAAGTCTTTGTTGAGAAGTCACTGTCTTCAGCCACTAGACATTTGAAGTCCTGCTTTTTCCTGTGAGATAATGACAGAATATCTGAACTGTCTGAGTTCACACTTGTCAGTCTGCAGAGTCAGAAACTGGGAAGGCACCTCTGTGCCTTGACTCCCAAGGTACAGAGGTGCTACAGACCTGCAAGGCAGAGCATCTTCTCTGACAATGTCACTAGAATTTAAACATTTATGCAACAAGCTGGTTTTTATTAATCTCATTGTCAATCATTTCATCCCCATTCCCTTGTGAGGTGGGAGGGGATTAGCTTTTGTTTCTGAAGTCCCAGTGAACGAGCTCCTTTCTGTGGAATTACTAGGACACTGCCAGCCGGCACTGCAATGAAATTGTCACAGGGTAGGTAGAGATTATGTTATCCTCACTGGGTCCTAATTTTATGTCTTTGTTTGAGCACAAACACCATATTCATCACTGACCCACTGCACACCTGACCAGCAGCTACTTGCCTCGTCCTTGCTTTCTTGAGCAAAGGTAACTGAGCGTTGTCTGTGGCAGATGAGCAGGCTTGTGGACCGCACTCCTGTGATTACGTTGCCGAAAGAAGCATTCATGGAGTGTTAGTCTGAAAGAAATGCAAACCTCATCGTCATCAAGTAGCTGTCAGCAGACCGGTAGCTCCATCAATTTTAGACCATTTACTTGGTAAAATAAGGTGGTCCATATCTGGCCTGTTTAGTCATGTTTTTAAAGGTAAGCAGTGATTGCCTTGGAAAGGAAAATGTTACTGTTAAAGATCTCCTTATACAAGTGAGCAGGACAGCCAATCAGATATGTGGCATTTCCATGGGATTCTGGCTTTAGGGCTGCCTATCAAATGGATCATTAATGAGTCAGGTTCTGGCAAAAGCACAGGAAAGCCTCAGGAGAAAAATGGGGAGATGAGCTGGCATTTCTGGTGTCAGTGTCACTGCTTCTAGCCATGAGCTTCACAAAGTGTAAGAGGGCAACCAGCCAACCAAAGGTAGGAGTCATTCTTGAGCAACTTCCCCAGAAACTTTGTCAATGAAGGGCTCTTTTCCAAAGATCATTGTGGCAGAATGAGACGTATCTTCTCATGGTCCTTCTCAATCTGGGTTTTATTTCTCCAGATGGCAAAGGAAGCCACACCAGGCATACGGCGTGACCCCATGGCAGATGTCCCATCCTCCAGCTTTACTCCCATGCCTAGGAGACAGGGGCTAAAATCAAAGACCCACTCATTTGCCTACTCAGGTGGCAGTCCTTTACAAAGGGTAAGTCAATAAATTAAGGCAGATAACAGAACAAAAAAAGACGAAGAGAGAAAGCCCAGAAGAACCATGGAAAAAAATTCCCCAAAAGAAAAAAAGTAAGGAAGGATATTAATGAAGGAAAGAACCTGAGAGAGTAGCATAAAAAGGAACAGGAGAAGGGAAAGGCGACTTCAGGGTGATATGGTGGAGAGTAAAGAAAAGAGAGTGAGAAAGAAAAGACACCATTGCAATATCTTGCTGAAAATTAAATTAAGTAAAATCAATAACATCTCAATTTTAATTTTATTATCATGCTTGTTTCTTGATGTAACAATGGATATACAAGAAATGCTCTCTAAACAGATAGGAAAGTGTGAAATTCATTCCCCTCAGTTAAGGTCTTAAAAAATCCAGCAACACTGTCTGAAGGGATTATTTTTTTCCTCATGTAACTTATTACAGCATTTTCTTTTTAGTTTGAATATGAATTAGAGAATTTCTATGAACAGTCCCACATGCACAGCACTAAGTTTAAGAGCAAGGTAAGTGTAGAAACATTTAGAAAATGGTTTTTTTTGATGATACAAGGCAATACTAGTATCTTAACAGATCTCTTAGAAGAGATTCTTTCTCTGCTAAATAAGCAATGTTTCATCAACCTGTAATTACTTCTTATGATGTAATTACTACTGCAGAGAAGTGTCAAAGTGTACAATGTCAATGTTGGAGAGCATTTGCCTTTTATACAACTTTATTCACTGCAGGGGTTTCTATGACTTGTAGCCCTTTCTGCAGAGGATTTTGGGACAGTGCCATCTTGATTATGAGGCACTCTGAAGAAGTCTTTTCCCTTTGGCAAGCTTGTGGGACAGGAAAACTGACCTGAAACTCCATCTGATTTTATAACCTTCTCTCTAGGATGAATGTTCAAGTAGTCTAGATTTTGTACTGTCAAAGGCAACATGAAAATGGAAACCCAATCCTTACAATCCCTGTATCAGTTGCTGAAGTATTGGACATGGCACATCTCATTATCGTCTTCAGTTTCTCATACCCATATGTTACTTTTCTATCTTGGCACCGTGATCATGTTGTTGTACCATTTTTATAGTTTTTCTAGAGAAACAAAACTGCCCCAGAAGCTGGTGTGTTTGCTGCTGGCATTTCCAAAGCAGTTCATGTTATCTTAAATCAATCATGAGCACATAAATGATGTCAATGGTAGAGATCCTAAAGTATCCAGAATTTCACCATAAACATATTAAGTGTTCATTTTGTATCATATACCAGAGTCTGCTGAAGCACCTTTTACTGTTATCACTGGCATAGCTGAAGAATGGAAGATGACCCTTAGTCAGGGAATGAAGGGTGGGAGTAGGCTCCTAGGGGACTCAGATGTTGATTTTTTTCTTGTGCACCATATGATAGAAACAGAATTTAGAAGGTGATCCTGGAAGAATGAAGGACATATTTCATCTTTGTGTGGTTTTGGTTCAAGTAGTTGCATCATGCAGTTTACTCAAAATAAAATTAGCTCTTCTGGTTTAGATTTTAGCAAAAAAATGAAAATAATTACCATGGGGAGCTTTCTTCCAACTTTGTGCCCTGAAGATGAGTTTCCAAGAAGCAGCTCTGAAAGGTTCCTCACCTTGGGGCACTAATAAATTCTACTTCCCTTACTCATTCCCATACTTCCTAAATGTGTATTTTTGCATGTTCACTCAAATAATGTGATTGTCTGAACAACACACTCACAGGATACCAGCCTAAAAAGAATAGCTTTAATTTTTTGGCTATAACTGAGAAGATATTTTAAAGATCTTAAAGATGTTTCACAGTTAGGTTTCTGAAAGATATTACTTGAAAGTTGAAAGTAATTTTAAACTCTGTCTAAGTAAGAAGCTGAATGTAAGTTTCACCAATGTTTTCTTTCTTTTGTTGAATCATCCGATTGCATCTGATTTCCTTTGAGTTTTGGTCTTTTCCGGTTTGTGTTATGCCTATTTTCAATAGTACTGTATGGAATACTAACCAAGAACAAGCTTTATTACAAATGTTTTTTTGTGGCTAAGACATCAGCAAGCCAAAGACTTTCAAATTAGATTACAGAAAAGAGGCTGTCCTGTTGACATGTTATTGAGAGACGTCTTTCTTGAAAACTCCATCACAGCTAACTGAGCAATGGTCTCATGTCATTAAGCTGAACAACTGGAGACTTTGTCTCTGTTACTTAGAGCTGCAGAGTGTTTGGATGTTTGGAAATATTCATATAAGTAAGAGAAAAACAAGCAGATGCGAAGGAAGGGAAAAATGCACTTATTGCTTGTTAGCATAAAATCTTTGTGACACACCTCAGAACCTTTTCTTCAATCACCTTTTCGAGGTGTGTGTGGATGAGGTGATGCACACAATGAGATGGTTCTCCATTTCAAGGTTTATGTGCCAGCTGCAGCAGCAAACTGAGGAGCTCTGTTTTTCTAGAAAAACACAAGCAATTCTTCATTTGTGTGAGAGAGGCACAGTTATATTGCTTTCAGCACAGCTTGGATGGTTTACGTTGGCTCCAGAAAGTCTTGCAACAGAGGAGAACAAAATGTGAGAAGAGACTGGGGGTTTTGTGTCCCCATAACCATAGTTTTAAGTGGTTCTTCATGAGAAGGAAGGTGCTGTTTCAGGAACAATTTATGATTTCTGAACAATTTATGAGCATACATTTCTGAACAGGAAATTGGTTCAAGACACAAGTTATCACTGGCAGACCTCATTTATATGCAACAAAAATATCACCTACAGCTTTCCTGAGATTGGCCCGTGCTCAACATGCCTTCACTGATTACATGTGTTGCCTGCAGCTCTGTTTTGATTGCACACACTCTATCCCCAAGGTTTCTTGCAGGAGAGGGTTACACAGAACATGTTGTTCCATAGGAACCTCCTTCTGACAACGAATCTGTCTTCACTGTCGTGTCTGTCATACCGACATAAATCAGTGTCAGTATACCACTCCAGAAATAGTCTGGGCCTGCTTTACCTTCAGGCAGCCTCAGACAGTTGGCACACATTACCTCTCTCCCAAGATCCAGAAAGAGACAGGTGCTCTGTCAAATTCATGAACATTTGTCAACTGAAAAAGATAGTTCCATGGAGAAGCAAGATCTTCCTGTATATGATTCTGGAATTTTGTTTTCCTTTTCCTTTTTAGCTTTTTGCATCTTATCAGTGGCTCTTTATGCCCTCCCAGTCTAACTAATTGATTCCTTTCTCTTGTGACACTTTTGTAATTGGATTGTAATAAATTACACCCTGCTGTTTAAGAATGTGTCAAATATTGTTTTAACTTGCCCAATGCAAAGAATTGAGGACTAGAGACTGAATCATAAAGCATCATAGAATTTTGGTGGTATCAAATAGACACTTAATAGTAATTCTGCTGTCACTTACATCTACATAAATCCAGTATGACTCCACTGGCCTCAAGTACTTTCTCAGCATTTACATCAGTCTGAGTGATGGCAGATTTTAACTCTTCATTCCTGTGGTGAGATAGATGGACTCCAGGCCAAGATACACAGACTGTGTTGGGAAAGCAGTGAGTAATGCTACACAATAATTTGAAGAGGCTAAATTAAAAACACTGATGGTTGCCTGAGGATGCTGTATTCATAAAGAGGATGGCTAAGAAATACCCCTTTACCTAGTGCCTAGTATTGCAGTGAATCTTTGCCATGGATAAAACCAGAAGTTTTTACACATATTTCCTAAACTTGGTAAAGTATTATTTCCTGTACTAACACGATTCAGACAGTAAAAACAGGCTGCCAGGCAAAGACCAGACTTTTCTCAAGAGAGCAATTGTTTTCCCTATCACTGTGAGTCAATCTGGTCTCTGGACTGCTCCAGTCTCCTCTCAGTGCAGCAGACTTGCCAACTGCGCCAAATTATGTGTCAAGGCTTTTGGCAGTGCAACCTATTTCCCACAGAACACCACACAGAGAATTGCACTCTTCATTTAAGTCACTGACTGGACTGGAACCACTGAACTCTTTTACACAGGATAGAAAAGCTCGTGTTTCAGCTGTTATTTTGCATGGGGACTTCTTTTTTCATTATTGTGGCCGCATACCACTGGCAGTTGTACAGATTAAAAACAATGCTTTAATCCACACAGCCCCTTGACAGTACTCTTCACACATCCTAGGAGTAAACATTTTTGGTTAACTGCTTCACAATTCTATTTAAATAAAAAATCCTAGAAAGTAGATGCGATGTTCTGTATTGCCTTACCTGCAAGAGGAATGTGCAATCATTCACTTCTTGTGCCTATTTAAAATCCTGGACATGAATCATTATGACTGACCTATATAGAAGCAAGGAGGGTCAAAGTCTGTTTTCTTTCCCTCTCTAAAATGCCAGCAGAAGTGTAGGTTAACAGTGACTCACGTTAATCTTAGCTGAGGTGGTTGAACCTTGGGAATCCAAGGAATGATTGTTGTTTCACACAGTAATTGGAGATCCATTATAAAGGTTCCCTTCAAGTGAGGAGTGTACAGGCTGCTGCCTTTGGTATCCTGGCAGACATTCTTGGTGGCACATGCTAAAAATCAGGTCTCAGCTAGGGGAACCTGGCCGCAAGATGGATTGCTGCTGTAGACCCAGATCTCTTCTCAGCATGGACCCAGAAATGCAGAACCTTCGGGTGCCAGTGGTTTAGAAATGGTACCCCAAGAAGTAGCACTAAGAGCAGAACTCAGTCTCCATAAGCAGTACATTTACAACTTTTTTTCTGGTCCTTGTAGTTCATGTTCCTTTGCTTTAATTTAGGATATGTGGAAAAGCGCACACATATTCTTGATATATTTAGTACAACTTTAGATTGAGTGTGAGGGTTTGCCACAAGGAAAAATTCAACTAGTTCCTATGCATTTCCTGGTTAAATTTGGTCCCCCAAGATCTGCTGCAGTGCCTACATGATACAGATGTGATTTTTTTTGGAAGTCTCTAATTTTGTCTTGCATAATATT